AGCGAGCCCTCGGGGGAGAAGGCGGTGGCCGACGGGAGCTTGACCAGCGGTCCCGACGCCGGGGGCGGGCGAGAGGGGGAGCGGGTTTGCAAGAGGCCGGGCGCGAGGCGTGCGTGGGCGGCGAGGCCTTGTTCCGGTCCTGGCCTACGGTGGTTGCCGCCACCCGCCTGCCTTCCAAACGAGCCTTCGTGGCGGCGGGAGCCGGCGCTAAAGCGTTGCAGAGAGCCGGCAAAGAGCGAGCGGCGGCGCCGGGGCGGGCGCGGGGAGGTCGGGCCGAGCCGGCGGCCGCGGGGAAGGGGCGGGCAAGGGGCGGGGGCGGGGCGGGCTCCCCGCGCGGGAGGCGCGAGCTTTTCCCGGGCTCGCGCGAACGGTCCAATGGCAGCCGGGCGGTCTCGCGCGGCGGCCAATGGGCATGGCGCTGCGGCTATAAAGAGCGCGGCAGCGCGGCGGTCGCTGCAGTGTCTTGTGTGTCGAGCGAGAGTGCGGCGGTGGTTGCGGAGCCATGGCGCGCACGAAGCAGACGGCGCGGAAGTCGACGGGCGGCAAGGCGCCCCGCAAGCAGCTGGCCACCAAGGCGGCCCGCAAGAGCGCGCCGGCCACGGGCGGCGTCAAGAAGCCGCACCGCTACCGGCCCGGCACGGTGGCGCTGCGCGAGATCCGCCGCTACCAGAAGTCCACGGAGCTGCTGATCCGCAAGCTGCCCTTCCAGCGCCTGGTGCGCGAGATCGCGCAGGACTTCAAGACCGACCTGCGCTTCCAGAGCTCGGCCGTCATGGCGCTGCAGGAGGCCAGCGAGGCTTACCTGGTGGGGCTCTTCGAGGACACCAACCTGTGCGCCATCCACGCCAAGCGCGTCACCATCATGCCCAAGGACATCCAGCTCGCCCGCCGCATCCGCGGAGAGCGTGCCTGAGTCTCCTGCCGCAGCCCTTCCTCGGCAAGGCACGCAGGCAGCCCACACAGACCCAAAGGCTCTTTTAAGAGCCACTACACTGGTCAATAAAAAGAGCTGTAATCCTGCTTTGTAACTGCCATAGGTATATTATTGTTCTCAGCTTCTTTTTATTAGTGTTCTGCATATAAAAGTTTATTGAAACCAATGTTTCTCTGGCATGTCTTGGTAGTCCTTTGCACATACTGAAAAATAATAGGTACCTTTTAAACACAGTGTGTGACAGGACTGAAAGCTCCAAGCAAAATTACTTATACATCCTTGTAACTGTCAAACCTGGCAAAAATGGAGGGGAATACATATAAAGGCCTGTATCAGATTGGCTAGGGATAAAAGTTGGATCATGCACTCACTTAATGTTCTCCAGTGACTGTATTAACATTTCCCCCTACACTCTTCTGATTTTGTCTCTGCTCCCCCACCCAGTGAAATTGCTGATTTTATCAGCACTACAGCTTTATATATATATACATATACATTAATATACATTATTGCAAGAATACATAAATTTCTGCTCCAAGATTTTTTTTAAACTTATTGAAAATACCCCCTTCCCCAAAAATGCTCAGAAAATACATAATCTTTCCTTCTGTGTTTTATTATACGACAACAAAACTGGACAAACAGGATAAGTTATTCCTGTCTACAGTACTCTTCAATCAGTTTCTTGGCCTTTTCAGGTGCTTTTCTGTGCTGCAAGAAAGAAGCCTCAGGTGCTCTGTGGCATCAGCGTGGTAGTCCCTCATTTTGAGACCAGTCTTAAAACTGATTTATTGAGGTGGAAATTCTTGCTTCTGGCATTAACGATCGTTGGAACAAGGCAGAAGCCCCTTTTTAGAGAATATGTTTTAGCCAGGTTTGACAGAACCACAGGAAATTTCTGCTCTTGCTTTAACCCAGCCAGCCGCAGAGTTTAAGGTGCAGATTTCCTGAGCACAGGGGGCTCTTCCTGGACACAGACTCGACCCTATCCTGTCCCCCCACCCACCGCCCTTCCACCTCCCTTCTCCCTCAAAGCTGTGTAAAGTCCAGCATTGTCACAGGGATGTAGAGCCCTCCATCCTGCCTCAGGTTGTCTGCTCAACCCCTCTTTAAGAAATATATCGATCTCTCATTTCAGCCCTTTGATTTGTATTTCCTTCCCCTTCCCAGGTGTTCATAAGCACCTGTTATTCCCCTTTAGTATCTTGTCAGGTTTATTAGGGAGAATTCTATACATGGAGGAAACAGTAAGACAGGACAGAAATAAGAGGAGCTAGTGCCCCAGAATAAACGCTTTCAGGCTGAAAATCACTTTTAAAAACTAGCAATTTCAAAGCAGGATTACAGCTCTTTTTATTGACCAGTGTAGTGGCTCTTAAAAGAGCCTTTGGGTCTGTGTGGGCTGCCTGCGTGCCTTGCCGAGGAAGGGCTGCGGCAGGAGACTCAGGCGCGCTCTCCGCGGATGCGGCGGGCGAGCTGAATGTCCTTGGGCATGATGGTGACGCGCTTGGCGTGGATGGCGCACAGGTTGGTGTCCTCGAAGAGCCCCACCAGGTAAGCCTCGCTGGCCTCCTGCAGCGCCATGACGGCCGAGCTCTGGAAGCGCAGGTCGGTCTTGAAGTCCTGCGCGATCTCGCGCACCAGGCGCTGGAAGGGCAGCTTGCGGATCAGCAGCTCCGTGGACTTCTGGTAGCGGCGGATCTCGCGCAGCGCCACCGTGCCGGGCCGGTAGCGGTGCGGCTTCTTGACGCCGCCCGTGGCCGGCGCGCTCTTGCGGGCCGCCTTGGTGGCCAGCTGCTTGCGGGGCGCCTTGCCGCCCGTCGACTTCCGCGCCGTCTGCTTCGTGCGCGCCATGGCTCCGCAACCACCGCCGCACTCTCGCTCGACACACAAGACACTGCAGCGACCGCCGCGCTGCCGCGCTCTTTATAGCCGCAGCGCCATGCCCATTGGCCGCCGCGCGAGACCGCCCGGCTGCCATTGGACCGTTCGCGCGAGCCCGGGAAAAGCTCGCGCCTCCCGCGCGGGGAGCCCGCCCCGCCCCTTGCCCGCCCCTTCCCCGCGGCCGCCGGCCCGGCCCGGCCCGACCTCCCCGCGCCCGCCCCGGCGCCGCCGCTCGCTCTTTGCCGGCTCTCTGCAACGCTTTAGCGCCGGCTCCCGCCGCCACGAAGGCTCGTTTGGAAGGCAGGCGGGTGGCGGCAACCACCGTAGGCCAGGACCGGAACAAGGCCTCGCCGCCCACGCACGCCTCGCGCCCGGCCTCTTGCAAACCCGCTCCCCCTCTCGCCCGCCCCCGGCGTCGGGACCGCTGGTCAAGCTCCCGTCGGCCACCGCCTTCTCCCCCGAGGGCTCGCTGTTTCTTCCCGCTCAGTAGCCGCGGTGGGTTCGGGGCCGCGGCAGAAGGACAGAAGGACAGAAGGCGCGGGGGGCAGCCGCCTGTTCGCGCCAGACGAACCTTTCCTGGCTGCTCCCCCGCCAGGGTTTAAGCCGCGGTTCGCTTGCGGCGAGCGCGCCCTGGGCAAGCGAGGAAGGGCCACGAGCGCCACCCATCGCCGCCCCCTCGGGAGCCGCCCCCGGCCCGGCGGCGGGGAAGCGCCGCGCAGTCCTCACCCAGGTCCGACCGAGCCCGGCGGCCGCGCGGCTCCGGCTCTGCCCGACCGGCTCCAGCCCCTGCGGCGGCGGGACCGACGGGTCGCGGGGGGACAGGGGGGTGGAGGGAGAAGCGGGCGACAGCCAGAGAAGAGCCAGGCGGGGTAGCCTGTGCTCGCCGCCACGGCCGGGGCTGTGCAGGTCGGGGACGACAGCGCCGAGAAGCGTTGCGCTTTGCTTCCCCTGGTCGCCCTCCCGTCCGTATACCGGTCTCGGAAGGGGAAGCGAGCGCCTCAATCCCGAGCTTTTTGCTCAAAAAATAAAGAACCTAAAAACAAGCTGACAGGGTCTGCTATAACCCCCTGAGCTTTTGCTGTCCCCGATTCACACGGTCTTTCGCTGGCACACCTCATGAGGAAACAACACGCACCGGCTTTCCAGGATACATTTGTTGGTTTGGGGCTTTTTAAGAGACCGAAACAGCGTTCGTTTATTGTTTGATCCACCACCCCTAAGACTACACCAAAAGGGGGCTTCCTCGGATTTTTTTTAACGAGTTGTGAAGGTTCTCTGCTCCGCTGAGGCAGATGCTACCCAACCCAACACACTGTTTATTGCAAGCGACATCCCGCTTTCCTTATACTTTACATTTCACTGGTACTGCTTTTTTCCCGGAAAAAAACTCGGGCTAGCATAGAACAAATGAGCACAGCATCAGCTCTTTTATTGAAAAGGTGGGTGGCTCTTAAAAGAGCCTTTGGGTCAAGGAAATCTGGCACGGGGGAGCTGCAGAGGCAGCTTACTTGGAGCTGGTGTACTTGGTGACAGCCTTGGTGCCCTCGGAGACGGCGTGCTTGGCCAGCTCGCCAGGCAGCAGCAGGCGCACGGCCGTCTGGATCTCCCGCGACGTGATGGTGGAGCGCCTGTTGTAGTGCGCCAGGCGCGAGGCCTCGCCGGCGATGCGCTCGAAGATGTCGTTGACGAAGGAGTTCATGATGCCCATGGCCTTGGAGGAGATGCCCGTGTCGGGGTGCACCTGCTTCAGCACCTTGTACACGTAGATGGAGTAGCTCTCCTTGCGGCTCTTCTTGCGCTTCTTGTCGCCCTTCTTCTGCGTCTTGGTGACGGCCTTCTTAGAGCCCTTCTTGGGCGCGGGTGCGGACTTGGCCGGCTCGGGCATGGCTGCGAACACGCGACCGACTCTCACCACACGAAAGCAGCAAACAAGGAACCGACGACAGCGCAGAGGCCGCGGGAGCTGCTTTTATAGCGGTGCTGTTCCCAGCGGCGCGTCGCTATTGGTTCGCCCCGCGCCCGGCTTTGCTATTGGCCTCCTCTGAATTCGCCTTGCCATTGGCTGCCGAACGATTCCTTTCTTGCAGCCAATCGGAGCAGGCGCTGCCGCTCCGCCCGGGTTGTATATAAGGCGCCGGGCGGGCCGGGCTGGGACTTACCGAGGCTTTTTCGGCTGCGGAGCGAGCGCCGGTTTGCTGAGTGGCTGCCATGTCCGGGCGCGGGAAGCAGGGCGGGAAGGCGCGGGCCAAGGCCAAGTCGCGCTCGTCGCGGGCCGGGCTGCAGTTCCCCGTGGGCCGCGTGCACCGGCTGCTGCGCAAGGGCAACTACGCCGAGCGGGTGGGCGCCGGCGCGCCCGTCTACCTGGCGGCCGTGCTCGAGTACCTGACGGCCGAGATCCTGGAGCTGGCGGGCAACGCGGCCCGCGACAACAAGAAGACGCGCATCATCCCCCGCCACCTGCAGCTCGCCATCCGCAACGACGAGGAGCTCAACAAGCTGCTGGGCAAGGTGACGATCGCGCAGGGCGGCGTGCTGCCCAACATCCAGGCCGTGCTGCTGCCCAAGAAGACCGACAGCCACAAGGCTAAAGCCAAGTAAATATTTTTTAAGAGTAAATCAAGAAACAAAAAGGCTCTTTTCAGAGCCACCCACTTTGGTCATAAAGGGCTGAGTCATTGTGGTTTTCTTTAGTGAGCTGAGGCAGAAACATGTGAGCTGCCTTTTTTTCTAGGCTTTGCTTTAGTGATGCTATTCTCCGTTCCCATCTGCCTGTGTTTTGTGGGAAGCCTGCTTTAATAGTAGATGCTAATATTTCTAAAGAAATTGTACTCCCCACTAAGATTCATCTTGTTGGTTGTTGCCTTTTTAGGATTTTTTAATTGTTTGGTAAACTGTTCTGCTTTTGGAAAGTGGATATTTTCAATCTCTTAGCAGTAGCAATTATGATTTTTGTAACTGGCATAAACATTACAGCTGTAGCCAATCAGCTCTGGCTTTCTTTTAAGGGCTCTGTGCAGTACTTACTAGAGGACCACATTAACTGAAGTCAGTACTAATCTATATTATTACTGTTCTAGAGTACTAAATAGTAGCTGATTGCTGTTGCGCCTCCAGGTTTCAAACTTAGAGAAAAGGGAGTGGGAAGGGAAGCAAAGCCTGCACATGAAAAATTAAGCCCTAAAACAATTACCGAAGTCCTGGCAGTGACCCTGAACCAATTGTTTTGCAACATGAGGGCTGTTCCCAGCCTCGGGCTTCTGACTGATTTCCATTTTTGCTGTGTTTTAACACTATCACGTATGTGAGAATCCCACTGGCTTTCCTTGGCAGAACTAATTGTAAAGCACTAGGGAAAGGTTTCAAGCAGGGAAGAGTCCTCTGTTCTCATCTGATGTGACGTCCCATTAAGATGACAGTCACTGCGTTCAACTGCAAAAACACTATCACTTAATTTCATTTTGCTAGCACTACTCACTGAATCCATGTCCTCTTCTCCACATGGTATGGGGAGTTTCGAGCTCACACTTTGTTTTGGGAGAAAGTGAGTCGTTCCTAGAAAAGCTGCTGCCATGCAGCAGGGCACAATGTGGCTAAAAGTTTGTTTCTCTGCTTTGGTGCTGCCCTGCTTGCTTCTGATTTACTTCTGGCTTTAGTGTGGCTTTTCTTGTGGTCTTGTGCAAGCTCTTGACCACAGAAGCCTGACAGCTTCTTGACTTTCTGGGGCTCTCTTCTGCAGTTCTTGGCACTGGAGAAACAGGAGCAGCTTTCACTGTGACTGTGGTGTTCCCCAGCTCTATCCTCCAGTCTAGGGAAAAAGAGAGATGTGAGCTGGCATATCTGTGGACCTGATGTTTACTGAGTTTAATTTTCCTAAAATTAAGTTGGTGATATATTCACTCCTCTATAAGGGAAGTTTACACTCCTATCTGTGTTTGTGTGTTCTACATAATGAAACTCTCGTCTGCATATCAGATTGTAATAAACAATGGGAAAGACTTCTATGAACAACCCTGGGTACATTATCTTGTTGTTGTGTGAGTGGATTTAAATTTTACTTTGTAGACTGCATAAACTTTCAAGAGAACAATTTTGTGGGCTTCTTTCCCTTATAAATGAATGCTCTGCTATCAACTATACAATGGTAATAGTCAAGAAGATAGAGTATTAATAGTTATTTTTGTAGTCGTTCCTCTTTCTTCCCTGCTGAAGAATGAGTTTAGTCATTACACAGTTCTAGTTTTGAATTATACATGTGGGAAACAAAGCCAAAAAAAAATATGGTTACATGAGGTCTAAATTATGAAGGGTCACAGGGCCTTGAATGTATATTGTACACCCAGACACTTCTGGGAAGATATTTTATAGACATGGTTTACCAACACTGGGGTAACTAAGGAGATTGGTTTTGAAAATATATGTATTTCCTAACAATGCAGTTGTGAACACTGGTAGCCTCCTATAACCAGCACAGACAGATACCTGGATATTTCTTTGACAATAACTTGATTTTATATCAGCAGAATGGGAGAGGAATGTGAAAATGCCTCTGATCAGAAGGAGGAGAAAAAGAGAAAACTGCCTCCTGGGACCCATTTAGCATCTCTGATAAGACAGCTTTCTGGGCAGTGCATCACTCACACTCCCCTCCTGTCCCTACTAGCAGGTCCTGCTCCCACACAGCCCATCCACTGACACTGCACCCCCCACCCAAACCCCCCACTACACATCCATCTTCTCCCACCATGTTCGAGGAAAGGGGTACGTGCACAGTTTCAGATGGCGGAGTGCACGGTGGCCCCTGGATTGACAAGATAGCTGTGCATTGAAATGAATGAATCACATATGAATTTGTGTTTTATTTGTTTTTTCTTCATTGTGTGTTTTGTTCCTTGAGAGAAGGAACCAGAAAAAAAATAACCAAAACACTCACAGGCCTTTTAATACCTATTGAGCACTTTGGCTTTTCCATGTTCTTTAATCACACAAGTTTCATTTGGGCATGTTAACAGAGGATAGCTCAGCTGAAGCATAAATGCAGCCGGGGGTGAATAACAGAGTGGACTGTTCCCACTAGGACCCATTGTTTCTCCAGCGGTGATGAAATTCTTCAGGTTTGTCAGGCTGGCCATGACAAGCACTATATTTTCCCGCTCCCCACACCAGTGTCAGAGACAGGGACTCAAGGACTAATCTGCCTCTGGGAGGAGGAAGCCAAGGTCCATTACAGAAGAGTCGAAGGAGGGAGAGCAGGGTAACATGAGACAATTTGAAGAGAAGTAGGAAGGGATGTTGAGCTGGGCAGAAAAGGACTTTGCAGGGGGAATGGGGGCATTGCGAGGGTTGGGGACTGATTGGGCTATACTGCTCTGCAGCCTCCTCCAACCCCCCTGCACTGCAAGAGTCCTCTGGGAACAGCAGGGAGAAGGCAAAGAAAAGGGTTGGATATCTCCTGAAAGAGCAGAGTGGGGTATTAGATCTTTAAATCCAGAAGCAATCTATTTCCTCTTCACTTCCCCCACCCCATACACCAATTAAAGTATTTTTAACTCTTTCATTGTCAATAAAGAAGCCTGTAGGTAAAATGGAAGAGTACACATTATTTAGTTTAGATAAATGTTGTAAATAAACTACAGTTCTTCTGCAGTTTCCTGTTGTCTTCACCTGTTGTTCACCTGATGTCTTCACTCTGTGCCATATCCTGCTGAGAAATACGATCTTCCATGCAAATGTTCTCAGATGGAAAATACTGTAAAAATGAAAACAAAAAGAGTAGGTGACTTACCTGCCTTCATTCTGTTAGAAGTGTTAATCACCCTGATTGCCTTTATCAACATTTTGGAAATCGTCATTGTTTTATTTTTAACCTGTCAATAAATGCACAATTAGAAGCTGCGATGATAAGTCTGAATTATGACACATACACATCCCATGAGGTTTTGCCTGACATTTGAATATCAGCTAAGGCTAAAACTCCAGCAGCTAAATATGCTTTACATCCATGTGACCATTTCACTTCTTTCGTAGGATTTGTACCTATGGAAGGTATTCAAAAGTCCCCACATGTAGAGAGCAGAACTGATTCAGGTAAATTTGGCTTCCTGAGCCAGCTCAGCTGTGTCCAAGCACCCGGATTTGCCTGTGATGCAGTCAGTCTGGTTCGCTGGTGCTTGGAGCGCAGGTGGAGGCAGCTCTGTTTAAAGACATGTCTATGTGTAGAAAGATTGGGGCTATGGCATTCCTATGGTAATTCTTGTCCTCTTTTCCTAGCAGGATGATTAAAGATACTGACCTTGATGTGTCCCAAGTGCATAACGCAGAAATAAAAACTTGATCATGTCCAGTGTTCGGATTGTTTAACGTTGTAGTGGCTGCTACCTGCTACAAAAAGAAAAGGGAAGCTTACAGGAGGTGTGTACATTTCTTCACAGATCTGATGTTGCACAAAGGTAGGTCAATATCCTCTCCTCTGTCTGAAGTCCAAGTTTCAGATGTAACTCTCCATGTGTGCTCTCTTCTTATTTCAGGAATTGTTTCTTCCACTTTCCCGTAACCTTTGCAAGTAAAACATCTACATGAAAATACAAGTAGAACTACAAATACAAAAAGACTGTGGATTTTATTAGTGATTAAAATTCCAAGCTATTCTGTTATTCCTTTCACACACAAGCAACTTATTTTCTAGTTTTGAAATGCAAGTATGTCCAGAATTGCTTCCTGAGCTTTTCAGTGTTAGAAATGAAAGGATGAACCTTTGTGATTAATATGTATTATCATTTTTGACAAGAAATGCTTTTGGAACAACCACTCCATCAGGGCTGCTGTCAAGTAATTTAGTTCTTTGTAGCCATGAAAGAAACTTAACTCAAAGCCTAAAAGGCCTTTCTACCTACATAAGCCTCTTGTTCTGTGACCCCAATCTTTGAGGAAAGAGCTGTTCCTGCTCATTGTAATGCTTCTTCCTTTCTTGTAAGTGTATGAGATGGGAAGGGAGAAGTTCCCAGCTACGTTCCCATTTACTTTTAGTCCTCTTCTCCAGTGAGATTTGTGTCCTGTCTTGAGCTGTGCTGTGCTCTGAACGGCTTAACCCTGACACCAGCTTTTGAAACACAAAGTCTCAATTTTTTTTCATTTGCAATTTGAACTGGGCACATTTTCATTACTGGCCAAAACCATTATATATGGGTGTGTGTAAGACCAAATATTTTTCCCAAGCTGCCATCAATACTTTCTCCTACAATGCTAATTATTTTAAAATATATTCTTTTTTTATTAAAACTGAAAAAGAAGGTCTCTGTGACAATAACATTGCAATAATTTGCCCTGTGTGTCAAGTAGTTATAATCTGTGGCCATTAGGAAAAAGAATTTGATTTCATAAGCAGGTGAGCAGATATTGATTTATTCCATTAATAAAAACAAATGAAACAACAACAACAAAAATACTCAAAAAACCACAACCAAAACTGTGAAGTAGTAGAAAATTGCTACAGATAGTTGGTCAGGTTTTGGATCAGGTGTATGACACCTATTTCTAATTTCTAATTCACTATTCAATCAGTTAACTAGACAATACAGTTATTTTTAAAAAATTTATATATTTTTAAAATTTTATATATTTTTTTCAATTTTATGTTTTAAATTTTGTGTGTTTCACTTTTGTAGAAATAAAAGCAGAGGGTGTTGGTTTTCTTTTTTAAACATGACAGTGAATATAAATAAATTTTACTGTAGGTATGGTGATCTAGAGAATTTTCCAGGAGTGCTGCTAATTTTATTACTCTAATAAAAATAAGATATGATAAATTTTGTACTGGTTGTATGGTTCTTCAGTATTATTTATTGCTGGTTATTCACTACAGTACTAAACCGTAATGTAACTCTGGTAATTTAAGATACAAAAACGTGATGGTACAAAAAAAGTATTTTAACAAAAATTTTTGCATAACCAAATGCAGATACAGCCTATATTTCAGTTAATGTGAATCAAGAGGTATTTTGAAGGTAGACATGGAGGGTAGATAAAAATACAACATGAAGGGCCTGTTTAAAGATTATGCATTCTAGCACATCCCGGTGTTGAGAATTGTTAGGATTAATAGCCTTGCTTATCACTGGAAGCTCAACAAGTTGAAGCCTTAGGGTACAAGAGCCTAAACTTTTTGATAAAATGAATGCCACAAACACAGTTGCTTTTTGTCAGTTCAGAGACTTTTTTCTCAGCACTGTTAGAAAATTAAGGGTTGTGTTACAATCAGATCTGATGTCAAATGCTATGTCCACATTATAGTCCCCTAATATTGCCTTATCATTGATACTGAAATTGAAAGGAACAATCCTAGCAGCATTTAATTTTCTTGAGCGAAGTTTCATGGGCCTAGAAACAATTTCCCATACTGAAATAATCTATTAAAAAATCCCTGAAATTTCTATGACAGCTATGTTAATGAAGTGTGCAATCTGGACCATATAAAGACAGGAAAGGCAATATGAATGCTTATGAGCTGGGAGTCCAAAAGGCACCACCAAGCTCCTATTTTAACGTAGGCAACAGGGCTGCCCTGTGATAGCTGTATTTTGAACTAGGGTGCTTTCACATGACTGATTATAGAGAATAATAGCCAGTGTAAAATTCTTCTGGTGATTATCATCATGTTAAATATGAACATATTTATGTGCTCATATGATATAATCCTTTTCTAGAGTCCTTTTCTAGTGAGCCAGGTACCCTTATAAAAACCTAGAGATTGGAATATACTGTGGTTCATTAATCTTCTTAGGCGTTGGACATATACAGAGGCCCAGAATATGCAACCTGTGTTCCAGAGTTTGCAGTAAAGCACTTGGTGAGCAGATGTCTAAAATGCCATTTCGAGCTGCTGAAGAAGAGTATGGAGTACAGAGGATGCCAATTCCCACTGGATATCTGAAATCCAATCTGAGAAGTCCCCATAAACCTTCAAGCTGAAATTAACTTTGATTAGGTAATAGATGTCAGATTTGAGAGACCTGGTGCCTGTCTCATTACCTGTACTACCAAACAACATGCAGTCAATAGTAGGAAGGCTGAGTCCCTCTATGAATTCAGTATCTTCAGAAGTCCAGAATATATACTTGAAATTCAGGATTATTCAGACCCAGCCGAAAAGTGATAATGGCTTTGATCTGCATCTATGGTAGCATTTAATTATCCAAGAATGTGATGGAGTGATTCTAAAAACCTGTCGTTTGAGCCTGACAAGTAGCTATATGATAAACTGATAGCTTGCTAAGTCAGCCCACAGTGCCTAGCTTCTTAATATTTAATAGTTTTAATACAATTAATGACATATAAATGCAGGAAATGTCAGATATGTATAAAAAGTATTGAACTTCACATATTTTTTTTAATTGCAAGGGGAACCTCAAGCAGTCATAGGGAGAAGCTAGGCAAGTTACTCTAAAATTCACATGAACTGTATAATAATTAAGACAACTGTTGAAGACAAAGATTGCAGACAGTACTTCTGAATTGTATTAATCACTGGGTTATTGGTAACACCTTAAGATAAATGTCACTTTTACTACATAAATACTTTTATAGTGCAGTGCACTGCGGTTCTCTTACTTCTGCTACCATAAAAACTACCGAAAGCCCCAAAGACTGAGCAGCATCAAACGGTAGATCTTACAATAGCTATGCTGTACATAGATAAGAATCCATTAGTAATAATTTTGATTTTCCTGGCTAAAAAAAAAAGCAGAAATATTTTAGTCTTTTAATTTACAACACATGTAACACAAACCCTGAGATCAGTGAGGTATTGCTCACATATAACACGATATTAAAAGTTGCAAGAGAACCATAGATTAACAAAAAGTGGTATCACCTTGAGAAAAGTTAAAAATGCCTCTAGTAATAGTGATTTATTGCCCAATTAGTTTATGTTCAATAACACATTAAACTACAAACCAGTATGTTAACAGAACTAGCCATAAGTGGCATGCACAAACTCCCCAAAACTGCAAGATAAGGTTCCACACCAGGAAACTAAAGTGTTCTTAGTTGACTGTACAGCCCTTTTATTGAAAAGTTGGGTGGCTCTTAAAAGAGCCTTTGGGTTATACAGTATTTCTAGCAGCTATTTACTTGGAGCTGGTGTACTTGGTGACAGCCTTGGTGCCCTCGGAGACGGCGTGCTTGGCCAGCTCGCCAGGCAGCAGCAGGCGCACGGCCGTCTGGATCTCCCGCGACGTGATGGTGGAGCGCTTGTTGTAGTGCGCCAGGCGCGAGGCCTCGCCGGCGATGCGCTCGAAGATGTCGTTGACGAAGGAGTTCATGATGCCCATGGCCTTGGAGGAGATGCCCGTGTCGGGGTGCACCTGCTTCAGCACCTTGTACACGTAGATGGAGTAGCTCTCCTTGCGGCTCTTCTTGCGCTTCTTGTCGCCCTTCTTCTGCGTCTTGGTGACGGCCTTCTTGGAGCCCTTCTTGGGCGCGGGCGCGGACTTGGCCGGCTCGGGCATGGCTGCGAACGTGCGACTCCCACAAACCACTACAACAGCTCCAGCTCCCGGGCAGAAGCGAAGTGACGGTGACCGACTTTGTGCCACTTATTTATAGCCCCCTTATGCAAATGAAGTATCAGCTTTACTCACTCTCATTGGGCAAAATGCAAGGCATCGTCATTCCTCAATAGCCTGGTTTTATTGGTCAGAATTCGATTCGCCTCGTCATTGGCTGCTCAGACGAGACCTACTTCTCAGCCTATCAGCGAAGGGACGAGGTACTAAAGTGGGGCTGTAGACGGGGAGCACCGTCTGCCCGCTCTGTCCTGCTGCGAGTTGTTCTAAGCGGCGAGCGAGCCAGGGAAGATGTCCGGGCGCGGGAAGCAGGGCGGGAAGGCGCGGGCCAAGGCCAAGTCGCGCTCGTCGCGGGCCGGGCTGCAGTTCCCCGTGGGCCGCGTGCACCGGCTGCTGCGCAAGGGCAACTACGCCGAGCGGGTGGGCGCCGGCGCGCCCGTCTACCTGGCGGCCGTGCTCGAGTACCTGACGGCCGAGATCCTGGAGCTGGCGGGCAACGCGGCCCGCGACAACAAGAAGACGCGCATCATCCCCCGCCACCTGCAGCTCGCCATCCGCAACGACGAGGAGCTCAACAAGCTGCTGGGCAAGGTGACGATCGCGCAGGGCGGCGTGCTGCCCAACATCCAGGCCGTGCTGCTGCCCAAGAAGACCGACAGCCACAAGGCCAAAGCCAAGTAAACAAAAAAGGAAAGCGGCACGTTGTCTCCTCCGGAGAAAATAATCCAAAGGCTCTTTTCAGAGCCACCCACAAAATCATAAGAGAGCTCAGTTATCCATACCACAGTTATGCCAATTTATATTAATCACTCAACCCGTGTTTTGTCTTTTTCCATATTTATTAACAGCATTTTTGGCTTGATGATAGTAGCAACGCTTTCCAGGTTTTCGTTAACAAAGGCGTGCCAAAAGGTCCTCCCCATGCAAATTCTTCCTGGTATGGGATATTTTCCGTTTAGTTGCTATGTCGGAGAACATGGGAACACTATTCGTTGCGAGTTCCCATCCCTCCCCCCTCTTCCGCCTTTTTCTTCTCCGAGAGTGGCTGATACAGTTCAAGAGATAAGAGGCGTAATGTTCGGGGAGGGAGGGGGAAGGGGGGGCCAGCGGGCCGGGCTCTCCGCTGGCCAATCCTTGGTCAGAGCGGGCTTTTTCAATACTTCAAGCTTTCTTTCTCAGCGGGAACAAAAGGATAGGGAGAGCTCAGGGCTATTTTCGTGTCAATAAAGAAACCCTCCCCTCCTCCCCCAGATAAACAAAAGCATTTAAGGAGACACCTTAAGAGAAATAATACAACAGATTAGACATGGCTCAGTAGTAGCGTGCCTGGCAATTGCATTATTTTGTTACAAAATACATCTTTTAAAAAAACATACATCCTTTTTTATCAAATCATTACAAAACATTGCTTAACATTGCTTCCTGGTAGTCAAACTAATTACTCGGAGAAAAAAAAGTCTACACTTCCCTAAAGCCGCCGCGTTATACCGTGCTCGTTAGCATTTCTTTCGGTAATCCTAGGGAGAAAAAAAAAAAAAAAAAAAAAAAAAAATACACAATTGACCTCTTGACGACTTACGAATTACTGGATCCCTGCTGCAGGTTATGGACGACCTCGGTGCCTCAGCTCCTTTAGGGAAAGTGTGGGTGGCTCTTAAAAGAGCCGTTGGATAACAAAATATGTAGAGCAGGACTCTTCTGGTATTATAATTTACTTCTTTTTCGGCGCTGCCTTCTTCGCCTTGGCCGCTTTGGGCTTGGCTGCCTTAGGCTTGGCTGCTTTGGGCTTCACCGTTTTTGCCTTGGCCGGGCTCTTCGCTGCCTTCTTGGGGCGGCCTGGCTTTGCGGCTTTCTTGGGGCTCTTGGCCGCTTTCTTGGCCGCCGCAGCCGCCGGCTTTTTAGCCTTCTTAGGGCTCTTCTTCACTGCCGCTGCTTTCTTGGGCTTCTTGGCGGCGCTGGCTGGCTTCTTGGCTGCCGGCTTCTTGGGCTTGGCTGCGGGCACCCTTTTCTTGGGAGCTTTTTCCTTCACTTCTCCAGGCTTCTTGTTGAGACGAAAAGAGCCGGAGGCACCGGTGCCCTTGGTCTGCACCAGGGTGCCTTTGCTGACGAGGCTCTTGAGCCCCAGCTTGATGCGGCTGTTGTTCTTCTCCACATCGTAGCCGCCGGCAGCCAGCGCCTTCTTGAGCGCGGCGAGGGAGAGCCCCTTGCGCTCCTTGGAGGCGGACACGGCCTTGGTGATGAGCTCGGTGACGCTGGGCCCCGCGGGCTTGCGGGCTTTGGAGCCGGCCGCTGCTTTTTTCGGCTTCTTGGCGGCGGCCTTGGCGCCGGGCGCGGGCGCATCGGGGGCGGCGGCGGGAGCGGTCTCGGACATCGCGGCGGCGTCCTCTGCGGAGCAGGCGAACACAATTGGGCTGGCGCGGGTCAGATGCTCGTATTTTTAGAGCGGAGCCGCGCGGTGATTGGTGCGTTGCAGAGCCCGCCCTGCTGCACGGCCGGGGAGCCCTTCGGTGTGCTCGATTTGTGTTTCTTTGGACTAACAAAAGTGTATTTTCCTCGGAATTTCTGCCACCAAATCGCCCCATTTCCCCGGTGAGGGAGGAGAAGAGCAGGTACTTGCGTTCGGGAGAGTTTCCAGCGGCAAACACGCGGTTTGAGTTAAAGGAGAGGCGATAAATCCCGTGTGCTGCTGCTGGAGAGACCTCTGAAGAGAGAAACTTTTGTTTTTCCTTGCAAATTAAAAATTTCCTTTTGACATAAATGTTGCAGCAACAACTCAGTCTGATTCTTTAGAGGGTTTTCTTGGGGTCAAAGTTGAAATCTTCCGATTTAAAGCTATTTTGACAGTTTAAACTGATTTTGAAGAGGAGGAAGTAACACAAACTCTTCTTTCAGCTCTGAATATGGATTAAGAACCAGTTCCTTTGACCATGTGTTTTACCTCTTAAAACGCTAAAGTCTAGTGAAATAGTGTCTCATACAGCCTCCTATTGCACTTTTTATAGAAACATAAGCAATTTATTAATATCTGGAGATTTATGAACATACACTTGGCTTATTTTGATGTCCTGGAATTTCAGTACAAGGGAGGCAAACTTACTCTACTGCCTTGTGTGGGGTGTTTTCTTTTTGTTTGCTTGTTTTATATGAATTTTTGTACCAATTATTAAGTAAATCAAGCTATTTACTTTTCATGTTGCATTTTAGTTTCAAGTAAATAGTCATTTGATATCTGATGTTACAAAACTGCAGCTTTGTACAAGAAAGCAATCTCCTAAACTTCTGGTGATATTTATGGAAATTATCTTTGTTTCTCTGGTAATTTAAGATGTGCAAGGACTAGCATAGCAGTTTAGCAATTATGCTCTTCCTCCTCAGAGAATGTTATCTTGTTATGTATTTTCTCTAACAGTAGTACAATTTAAAACTATATTACTGTTTGGATTTTTCTTACACATCTCACAGACTATGTATGCACAAAGGTTTACCTTAAGCCAATTCTGAATCCTCTTCCCACTCTAAATACAACCCACCTAATTATTCCTTGTGCATTTTACGGTAATTACTGAAATAAGGAAATACTTTCATGATAAAAACTAGAGCGCTTTCTGATAACCTGAGTTTTAACAAGGGGAGAGGTAGGCCATAGGTCGTTCGTAAAGAACCAGGAAGGATTCAATCAATACTGATATCTGGTGGAAGACAGGGTAATATGCTGAACAGAACAGAGCTCTGAGGAATATTTCATTAATCTGTAACCAATTATGAAAAAAAGCATATTATCATTGCCTTTTGTAGTTACTTAAGAATCACAAAGACTACACTACAGCTCAACCCTTTTGTATTAACAGATATAACACATAATGTGAATACAGTATTTAAGTACACATTAGCAACCAAAAATTCAGATTGTATGAATAGGTAGTCTTCGGTAAGTGTAATTCTATTCCCATCTCATGGTTTTATCTACAATGACTGTTTTGTAAATACCAAAAACGTATATAAGATGAAAGATTTTAGTTTGCTGTAAAATTGTGTTTCATAGAATGTGAAACTATGAATAAGTGCAATGAAGGGAAAAATTGCGACCTCCACCACATAAGAATGAAATACCAGAAAAAAATATTGCAGGAAAAGTGCACCTGAGTTCTGTAATGCTTCAATGGGAAGATAATTTAGAGAAGAGCTAATCAAATTGTGACTTTCAAGGTCCTCTTTGTTAATACTGTGTAACATAAAATAAGGATACAAGGATTAAATAAATTGGAGTGGATGTGGATATTACAGATATACCTTTAGAAATTATCAAAATTAAAGTAAAATATATATGTTTTTTAAGCCTTTATCTTGTGTATGTTTGTAAATAAATGACCAAAACTTTCCATTGATTTGACTGCACAGCGTAATAAGGTAGCAACTGTTGTGAGGCTATGAGATTTAACAGTTGTCTAGAGACTTCATAGCATATAGACAGTGGAAAAGCACAGACTGTAAGTGACATATCAGCAAAATGAAAAACTGCTGTTGCTTATTCTTGTTATTTTGAACACATTTACTTCAGTAACCTCTGCTGGAGGAATTGTAAATATTCCATCTCTCAATTGTGGCTTCACAGAGCTTTGATTCACATTTATTGGTGGCTGAAATGGAGGTGGCTAAAATGGTCACTATTCCAATTTTCTGCCTGGCTTTTCTCCCAGCAGTTGCTACCCTTTTCCCATTCTCAACAAGGACCATTAAATATATGCATATCAGTTTCTGATCTCCATCAGTTACAATCTACTATCTTAAAATAAATTGAAGTTTCAGAAATTTTATGACACAGAGAGAAGCTTGGATTTTTTTTTTTTTTTTTAATGGTTTTGCAGAAAAGACATAAAATAACTTTAATAATGTTGAATTTCTGCTTGGAACACATATTCTTCTCTATGTGAAAGAAATACATGCAGGAACAATATTTTGGAAAGTTAAGGTGTATTTGGCAATTTTAAAAAGAGCTACTCTGCAATCTAAGCAGATAGTTCAGATAGAACAAACAGATGTACTCAGACAAAGGAAAAATGTGGTGAAGGATTACCTAAAAGGCAGGAATAGGAGTTTCACCTCCAGCTGAGCAAATGAGAAAGGGAAATAATCCTGATTTAGATACAGGATATTGTAGAAAAATTTCATTAAGATGACATCACATAGACTGTTACATGCAGTAATGCCTACTTCATATGAGTGAATTCAATCCTTCTCACCTCATGGGCACCCCAGCAGGACACACTATATCATAAACCTGCAAAAGATTGCAATCTGAGCCCTCTCTGCATGTTGCTTCCCTGCAGATACCCAGGTCTGTCCAACTTTTGCATATTTAGATATTTAGACCTCTTGGCATAAGCAAGGAGACACATAAGCCACAGCCAAGGACTGGCGCTACACCTGAGAACTATCAAACATTCCCATCTCCAGTTTAGGACCTGCCAATACTTGTTCCTAAGAAAATAAGCTCTGGGGAATATTTAGATATGTTTGCAATAATGAGAGGGAGCACAGCAGTTGTTCTCAAACAATTTTGTTAGGAGGCATTAGCATGAGAGCAGCCACACAAATGTGGCTAATGGGCTGCTCTACCTAATGTAGGTGAGTGCTGTGGTCAGTCGTTCTTGGACAGCTGGAGGATGTACAGCTGTTACATCTGGGCACCATAGTCTCTCTCCATGCTTCAAATGGCAATTTCCAGAGAGATTTAGGTGAGCACCTTTATATTATGTGCTGCACTCGGGATTACATGTTCCACAGGAAAGAGGTGTAAACGCTCCCTCAACCGTGATTACACTCCTATTACAGTGTTACACCCATGCCTTACTTGCCCTCAGTGACTTCATCCTTCATCTGAGGTACAAATGTAATGACTTGTGTGATCCAACCAGCCAGCACAGTTTAGCAACTTTTAACATGTAGCTGAGGAATTTTAAAGTGATACCTACCAAACTGAAAACTTGTTGCAGCTCAGCAAAACATGTCTCTGCCTACTTAATACTAATGTTGCAGCTGCTACTGCTGTTAAAGCTCCTAAATGAGCTGAGGTCACACGAGGCTTTTAAAATTCAGTGTATGGATGAGCATCTGTAGTGAGCAGGATAAAATAGGGAAGGGCAATGGATGACTGTCCTTGTAGACTCAGCTTCCTGGAATGTTGAACACTCCTCCCTGTACCCTTGGTTAAGGGTTGGGGCACCTATTGAGGCCTCCTGTCTTCATTGCCATGGCATGTCATTTGGCAATTGAAAAACTATAGTCCAAAACCTGGATATGTCCATAGTTAGGAGGCACTAGGAAGGATATTCTTTCTGGGAAAGAAAAAAAAAAATCAGCAAAAATGCAGGGGGCCAAAGCCCTTCTGAGAACAGCCAACAAGGAAAAAAAATATGGAAATATGGACCTTTCTTTACTATACTGAGTTTATAAAGTTAACGCATTTTTACCCTTCTCACGCACAATGAAAAGGTCCTCAGTCAGTCATATGTCAAAGAATAGGATTATTTATATCTTAATGTAATTTGGTATTCTAAAACTAACCCAAGATATTTGACAATCTGTGTTCTGGACCACCCCGGCATTGTTTGAATGTAGTCATCAGTGAGCGATTGAGGACACCTCCAGCCCTGAGACAAAGTATCCGTGAAAGGTAAGCAACACGAACAGAAGCTCCATCAGCTATAGCTCCCCAAGAGAACTGTTTCCTCCTGAATTGAGAGTGCCTTGCTTTCACCAAGAAGGGGTGCCACCATACTGTCCTTTCATAGCAGCATCTTCATCAGCACTGAATCCTGGCTGCTCAGACCAGTGAGCAGCTCTCATGGAGCTAAGCAACTCATTCTTCCTCTCCACAACACCCTAGTACTTCTGCATGCCTTCTGCCCTCCACTCTTTCCTATTTGTTTGGCAGGGCTGTCTGCGACTTCTGGTAAGAGAGAGGGAGCAATGTGGCCAATCTAAATGTCTTTTCCCTCTCCAGCCAGCAATGTGTTTGCTACTATGAGGGACAAAGTGTCCTTGGACACAGAGTTCATGTATAGCTGATCTACAATTTGCCATCTCCTGGCTGCTGACCCCCCAGATGCTGATGTGACATGCTTCCAGGTACATTTGCATTGGTAGGCAATCCAATTTTTTGCCACACAGGCAATGATGGTGGCACTCATACATGATGTAGGCTGGACTTTAGCTAACAATTAGAGCCAAAGCACTGTCACACACCATGCAGAGGTGC